AACTTATCATTCTGAAATGTCTGATAATTGAAATGAGAAAGACTTGTACTTCAACCCCTGGCAACAGGAAAAATGTAAAAATTCCTGTAAAAAAGAAGCTGAAATATCCAATAATTATATCCTTATACTTTATCTAACTGAAATTATAACATTAGATAAATCTTGTTTCAAGTAGGAGTGTTAGATAAAACATAAGAACAAACTTAGACAAACTATTTACAGAATATTCTGATATATTTGTTGAAAATATATTAGAAGAAGGACAAACTATTAAATTAAAACAGACCTATATTATTGAACATATCATTAATACTAGAAACATGACTTCAGTTAAACAACGTGCTTATAGAATTACTTCCAGTAATTAGGATTTTGTCAAATGCAAAATCTAAACTATGTTAGAAAAAAGTTTAATTAGAGAATCTGCCAGTCCATGGACTTTCCCTATTGTACTAGTACTAAAGAAAAATAGAAAGCAACAAATTTATATTGATTTTTGAAAGTTAAACCAGATGACCAAAAAAGATGTTTACCTACTACTTGTGATTAATGATATCTTAGAATTCTTTAAAGGTGTACAATGGTTCTTTAACCTTAACCTTACTTCTGGTTATTGGCAAGTGGCTGTAAAAGAAAAGGACAGAAAGATAACTTTTTTCATAACTAAATTTAGATTATACAAATTTAATGTTATGTCTTTTGGGCTTTATAATACTTCTGCAACTTTTCAATGCCTAATGAATAAAGTAATGAAAAAGTACTTAGTCAAATTTGTACTTGTATATCTTGATGACTTTACTATTTATTCTAAAACTTTTGAAAAACATGTATAACATCTTTCTTTCATCTTTCAAACCTTACAAAATGCGTAATTAAAGCTAAACAAGGACAAATGTCACACTTTATCATATTTTTGAGCCATGAAATTTCTTGGCAAAGAATCTGATCTAATGAAGAGAAATTAATAAAAGTTAAAGAATTCTCCCAGTCAATTAACTTACAAACTCTTAGAGATTTTCTAGGCCTTGTCTCATACTACTGAATGTTTATCAAGGACTTTTCTAAAAAAGCTAAATCCCTAAATCAGTTGTTACAAAAAGATATACTTTTTAAATTAAAAAACAAGCAACAAAGGCTTTTGAATGGTCAAAGACTTAATTTATAACTGCTTCCATCTTATACCATCTAGATTTTAGTCAACTTTTTTATCTACATATCTATGTATCCAGAATATACTTGCATGCAAAATTATTTGAAATCCCGGAATTACAATTTTGAAAAAAAAAAGTCAAAATAGTTTTTTATTGAAGACAAAATTATTTTACTTAAAACCTGAAATTTTTTGATCTCCTAGATTTATTCTTTGACTAAAGATACATATAACTGGATACTTTTTTTACTTCCATATATAGAATAAATTCCGCATAAATTTCAAAAAGTCAAAATACCTCAAAAATTAAAAATCAATTTTGAAAACATATATAATCTGGAACTGGATTAGGAGTCATATTGACTTAGAAAAACAAAAATAAAAATGAATAACAATTGCATATACTAGTCAAAATCTTAACTGAGCTGAACAAAATTATTCTACAACTGAACAAGAATGCCTTGTTATTATCTGGGCAGTAGAACATTTTAAATATTATTTTGATATTTTACCCTTCTTTATAGTAACCAATCATTCTGCCTTAAAGTAATTACAAACTACTAAATTAAAAGGACATTAAGCACATTGAATTTTGAGATTAGAACCATATAATTTTACTATTTTACATTGAGCAGGAAAGAAATATAACAACGCTGATACCCTCTCCCAATTAGAATTCTGATATATCCCAATAACCCCTGTATTTAAATAAAAATAGAGTTAAAGTAATATCTGACATAAAACAAAAATCCAATTCTAGTTGTCAGTATTCTGGCATTTCATTTGAATAATGGATTCAACAAAACATCAACAAATACTTAATTATCTTCTTTACCAATTTTACCCTTATATATTCACTTTGATCAAACAAAAATAATTAAAAACAAAAAGCAAATTCTTTGAAACTAATAACAACTTATTATACAAAAATGATCATCAAAAAAAGACTTGAGAAAAATTATTGAAAGTAATCCAAGAATATGAAGTAGAACCAATTTTGTTAATACTATATAACCACTCTATAGGAGAACATTTAGGAATTGATATTGTTTTTAACAAAGTCCAAAACTTATATTATTGACCCAAATGTATAAAAATATTAAAGACTATATAAAAGCATATGACAGTTGTCAATGAAGAGAATGGAAGCAAAATCCAGAGCCCTTACAACCAATATCTGTGGGAAACCTTTTTGAAAAAATAGAGATAAATTTTGTAAGACCCTTACTTGTAACACCACGAAGTAACAAGTACATTATTGTCAAACTGATTATCTAACTAAATAACCTGAAGCCCAACTTGCTAAGAGCTACATTTTTGAATTTTACTAATAGTAGAGATAGAGATAGAGATAGAGATAGAGATGTATATTGCATTGTCGTTGTATTATATAATATAGCACAACTCTATTTTATGATAAGATTTCCAATAACAAATTAGGTATAAAAATATTTAATGTCCTTGAGTTACTGTAAAGTGAATTTTATTAATAAACAAAAAAAAATATTAGTTATTATCTTCTTCAAAATATTATATATTACATTATTATAACAGTAAAGTAGTCAAATCAAATTATTTATTGTTTTCAAATAAAATAAGACAATTTTTTTTATTTCATTGTTTTATCAAGATGTATGTATAATTAAAAATTCTATTATAATGGAGTTTTAAACAAAAGGATCACATTTATTTTTTTAATTTGACAAATCCAACTGATTATTGGTACTTTTATTACTTTTTTTTTACTTGAGTTTTATTCTTTATTAACATATTGTTACTTTAGATCTGGCTTTACTTGTTATTACTTATCTTTACTTTTTTATTACTTGTTTCATAATCTCTTCTCTTCACAAAAAAAGGTATTCACTTCTTAAAAACAATTTGCTTTTGAAAATCTTACTTATATTTCAAATGGTTGTTCTCTTTAATACAATGAAAAAAAAGATATAAATGAAGAACAATCTTCTATCTTCAAAACAAAATGGAATTTCAAAATTTATCTTTATTTGAAATCAAAATGATATAATGAAAAGTTAATTATTGATAAAAATTTATTAGATATTTTTACAAAACATATTATACAAAGCCCTCATAGTATTAGAATCTTCAAATCTCACCACATGATATCAATATATTAAAATGTACAATTTGAATATTACAATTTTGTCAGGTAATAAGATTTTGTTATTTACATGATGAGAATATTTAAATATATAATATAATACATATATTTACTTATTGATTTTTTTTAAAAAATATTTTTTTTCAAAAAAAAGAAATTTTAACCTGATATCTGCATAATGCATGAGGCATATTTGACTCATGCTTTGCACTTTGATGTTCTTGTAGTTGGCTTGTACTTTTGTGCTCAAAAAGAAAAATATTCATATTTAGTTAGATTTTGTAATAGTGTCAGAAATATCGTGATATCTCATAGTATACAAATTTGATAATCTTTAAAAGGTTAAAATAATTTACTACAAACTGTTAGACTCTTTTTTTTTAAAAAAAATAATTACTATTCTCAATTTATAGCATAATTTCCAGTATCACTGCTCCCCTTAATTTTATTGGTCCATAATCAACTGGTGATCATACCTGCTACAATTTCCAATAGGTGATAATTCGATTAATTTTTTTCGAAAATAAATTAAGTATTTAAAATCTTAATATTTTATTAAGACAACTACTTTCTGGCCTCTAAGTAAAACTACTCAGTACAAAATTGTACATATATTTATATTCTTTAAAAAAATATTTTATTAAATAAATAAAGTTTAAGCGTAACTAGAATACCAGTAGGTAACTTATTTTCAACTTCAGATGTTAAGCTATTTTATTTTATTTTTTGTTTAATGAAGAACAATTTTAACTAGTAGTTATAAATTCGTTATCCATTAACTTTATTAAGAATTGGTTTTTTGTGAAATGGATCAAGTTCAATTTTTGCAATATCTGATATTTGAAACAGTGTGACACACAGTGATGAATACACAAACACTAATCTATGGCTAACCATACTGGGCTTATATCCAGTATGACAAAAACGTGATCTCATATTTGACCAATAGAAATTAATTCACGTTTTATTATTTTCTCTCAGCAAATAAAAAGTTCCTGGTTCAATAAGAATTTTTGGCTTGAAAAATAAGACAAATTATATGATTTCAGTTTTAAATGTTGTGCACTGTAGTATTGATAGAATGGATAACATTCTTTAACCAAACCTGAATTTAATTTTATTTTAAATAATATAGGAATATATATTTGTTCTTTTTTTTCCTTTCTTTTTTTATAATTTTAGTCAATACAATTAAAGACAAGAACATATAAATAAATATGATATTGGTGTATGCTGTGAAGATTTTTAAATGGAATCATTGAAATACTCATTTAAATAACATCTTTTAGTATAATTAAAAATTACTATATTTTTATTTATTCAGATGATTGACAACAAGCATAAATATAATAGAATTTAATCGATGACTCATTTGAACTAAAAAAACTTATAATTGTACTAAACTAATAACCTTAAATAATCTTTAATTTAATATTGAACTCTTTTATAATGGTTTGTTTTGTAAACAAAGACTTATCATAATGTTTTAATAATACTAATTCTTTGTATTCCAGGAATAATTCTATAATATTGAGAATAAAATTAATTATTTATGGATATCGCTAATTTAGATTATGAAAATTAATTATTTTCAGATGTCATAATTAATAAAAAATAAAAAGAAAAACCAATTAATCTGATTTTTTTTTTGAGTTGCAGGTTTAACTAGTAATAATGTTTATATTATATAGTTGTATCTAATTCTTCTCCTAATAATTGCGATTTGAATTAATAAAAAGCTGAAGCTGACCCTTCATTCAATATAGATGCAAAATGATTCACAGAATTATCTCCTTTGTGTTCAATAGGGTTTTCATCGGTAGGAAAAGGTCTGGAATACAACATTGCTTCTGCCTCTTCTAATGATCTAGGTGTTAACAGGTTTATAAGTTCGAGTTGCAAACGTAATATGTTATAAGTTGATATTTTTAATAGTATTATTCAATAAGAATTTGACAACTGATAGGATGAAGTAGCAGGATTTCGTTCGAAATAATCATTAGTTATTTTCACCATTCTAGAGTAGCACCTTTGAAAATAATTAGGGTAATTTTTTAAATTATATCAACATCTGGTAGCTATATTACGAATTGAAGCTAGATTATAATTTAATCTACAAGAGTTACAACTAGATATAATTAGTTTATTAATAATATCTACTGAACATACATTTCTTGAATCCCTATAGATTTTGATCGTTTAATTTTCATATAGAATAGATGTCATTATGTCATTTATGTCATTTTCAGTAATCGTCATCTTATAGATTTATTTAAATAAATTTAAATTATTAAAATTTATCAAGAAAATTTGTGCTTATTTAATAATATTTTAAAATAAATTTAAGACTTTGGAACAGCACAATGGTCTTTGAAATAGGATTTGATTTATATTTTATACAATAATAGATTTATCATTTACTATGCCCATTAGAAGAAACATAAGGTTGAAATATATTGTAATATAGTTTAAGGTAGTAAATATATGTGTGCCATAACATATGTAGTATTTGACTAATGACTTAAGGTAAAAAACAGATTTATATTGAATATATAATTGAATTTGAATATATTATGATTTACATTAATGAAAAGAAGTAATCAGATAGAAAAAAAGAAGTGAGAAAAGTTTAGTATCCGATATCACATATCTGCTTATAATAAATATATGCATAGAATATTAAAATATGGTTTATTATTTATAATAGATACCCCTTATCTTTGAAAAAAAGTATGTGTGTGTGTGCATGTGAATTTGAAAGGAATTGTATGGCCAGTTAAATTTTAATTTTGGCTAAAATTATAATTTATGATTATCAAATCATGGTTTAATTAAAATATTTTGGAATTTAATTAAATGAAAAATTGATATTAACATTTAAAGAATAAATTAATTTATTTAAAGTCTGGTATATTGAGGTGGCACAAAAATAGCCAGGGTCATGGGGGATGATTGAGGATGATATGTGTCACTATTTGGATGAATTATCCTTGTGCATCATCCATCATCCAGGATAACCGTTTATTTATTCTGGCACAAAAAATTTTTTTGGATGACAGAGGATGAAGGTAAACAAGAAGAAAAATTATAAAAATAGCTGCAGTGGATAAAAAAAGAAAGGAGATTCCTCTTCTTGTGAAACTTTTAAATCATATAATTTTAATATCTTAATAATAAATTTCTTAATAATTTTATCATAAAAAATAATTTCATAACAATCTGAATATTTCATAATTATAATTTTTTTTTATAATAAATAATTTCCTAATAATTTTAGTAATAACAAATACAAATAATTTTGAAATAATCTTAATAATAATAAATAATTTTTGTAATAGTTTTTAATTTTAGTAATAATTTTTTGTATCAGAATAACAATAGGGATAAGATATGCCAATGCAGTAATATATCTCTATTGACTTATTCTTTTAATAAATTTTAATAAATCTTTTAATAAACTGTTTTACTCTTCTTGACAAGTTATTTCAAAAAGTCTGTCAAATTTTGGTAGTGAACAAAGCAGTTAGTAAAGATACTTTTATTCCACTTGCTCACTGTACTTTCAGATATTACATGTAATTGTATTGTTTGTAATTGTTAGTAAGTAGGTTTAGATCAACTGATTGCCTGTCTTACTGTTTTTTAAGATATTGCACACAAGAGAAAGTGTGTAAGTAATACATTGAATTATCATGTGATTGACTTAAATTTATTGAGACTAATTGTTTAATTTTTCACATTGTTCTGTACAGACCATGACAATATGAATTCCATTTATACAAGTAACTTTGATGTATAAATTAATTAATAATTTCTATTTTAATTATACTTTAAAAATCCAAACCTTTTTTAGACAACATTTATTGATTATTGATGACTGTTAATATTCAAAACTATCTGTAATTATTATTTAACTGAAGTTTAAGAAACTACTATTACTCTCTTTTTCAATTACAAAAAACTACTACTTCTTTCATACTTTTTTCATCATTCAAATTTTACCTGTTATCCTTTGTACTTCATTCTTCATCCTTGTATTTCATCCTTCATCTTCATACTTCATCCTTCATCCTTGTACATTATCTTTTGAATGATAACACAAGTTATTATTCTCATACAATCATCTTAGTGTGACCATTTATAATCCCCTGTTATAACCTGCATGCTCATGAAATTACTTTGCCACGGTAGAATGTTTTTATTTAATTCCTGATGTGAATATGCAAGACATGTATTCTGATGTGGAAAAACAACCTTAATAACAAAATTACATTCCTAACTAGCATAATTAGTTACCAGTATCTTAATAATTATATTATTGTTAACCTACTTGGGACCTCCAAAGGAACTCAGTCAAAGAAATCTTTAAAGGACATTATTGGACTTAACAACTGTATTAAGAATCATTAAATACATATAAGTCAAAATTGTCATCTAAAATTTAAATCACAATCTAATATAAATTAAAATCTGTTATATAGATACATATTGATTAAAAATGTAACAAATATGACAGAATAAAACTATTTTTTTGAAAATAGCATGAGTTTCGAAATCTCTATTATTCAAATTGAGAGGTGCAAATAGAACTAACTCAATGTCATAATTATCATGTTCAACAGGATATGTATCAAGAGTCCACTACTTGATCCAAATCTTCTCTTATATTTTGTTTTACCTATTTAATTCTCACAATTGTATCTGTATAACAGCATTAAACAGACTTATTTCTTTACAAAATTTAAAATTTAGATACATAATAAATAGTAATGTATAAGTATATATATGAAGCACAAAACTTAAAACTACAAGAAATTTAATTAAGTAATGATTATAAACCACAACCAGACTGACCACTTCATCATTCAGCTCAAAGAGGAAGTAATATAAGGCAGAAAATCTATCAAATTTCTTGGATGTAATTTATTTTTATTTTAAATTTTTTTATAAACTTTCATCACACATTCTTTGCTCACTAAGATATGTTAATTATGATGTCAATTACGATATGTGAGTAAATGAATAGGTAAATCAACAGTTAGATTATTAATTAAGCTAATGGATCAATTCAAAATAATATTTAAATGATTTTAATATCATAAAATAATATCGATAACAAAAAAGAAAAAAAAACTTTTCAATGATAGCAATTATTTATAACTTCCGAGTTATTGAGAATTCAAGAATTGATCATTTAAACACAATAAGATCAAAATATGATTCTAACTACAAATTATAATCGATTACTTGATTAGAATTTACTCACCATCCATCTTTTTTTTCACCATAATCTAATGATAGAGTGTAGAAAATTTTATTAATATCATTGTGAAGCAATTAATAGTCATTATATTGTTAGACTCAGTGTTTATAAAAACTTTGCAATCAGAAGTGAACTTAAAAAAGAACAAACCTACAAAATTCTGTATTAGATTGCAAAGATTTTAGCTTAACCTACAGAACTAATGAAAATAGTAAGCGGACTGAAAAATTCGGCGAAGTAACTGATCATGGAAAAATAGAATCTTATAAAGTCGTACTACCATTTAATATTAATGATCCCACTTATTATTATGGTCATAGTACTGATACATACAAATCATTGGTATACACAATTATTTGAGGATGGTAAAAATTGGTAAAATTACTTGTGATGGAATTTGGTCAAGTATCATTCATTATGGAATCGAAGATAAAAATTATTATATATGTATAATACTATGAAGAAAACTTGGTGGATAAATGAAATATTAGATGATGGTATAATGGGGAAGAAACTTCCAGAGGAAATTTAGAAAGTAGTTTTCACGTTCAAATTTTCGGTAAAACCTATTATTATGCACATAATTTAAAGACTTGAAATTGGTTTATTTAAGAGTTACATTATGGTGGAAAGATGGGGCCTAAAACTATTAATGGTACTTGGACAAATTCTTGTCTTATAATATTTTCGGAAAATGTAAAAAATAAGCCTTATAACTTTTCTTCACGAACAATTTTACATAGAAATATTTGTTTATAATTTGATATTGCTATTTTTGTTTATTCTTTTATTATCTACATTTACATTTTTAATTTCTCATGTATCATTAAAAGATAAAAAAAAAAGTAAAGAATTGTTTAATTTTATATGAATAGAATAAGTAGTTTTTTTCGTTACTTCATTTTTTTTATTATTTTTAACAAGTCTATATCATATCAACTCGGTCGATTAGCCCATCGAATAGGGATACGTTACCTAGAGAAGGAGAAATTACAGAAGAAATAAGAAAATTTGGCGCAAATTCGAGCGAATACAAAAAAAAAATGTAACATTTTTACAAATACGTGTAATTTTTATACTTTGTAATTGAACCCTATAGCTATTTGATAAAAGTTATACATATCATATCGAAACAATACAATCTCAAATAGTAAAGTTTTTCCACTACCTAAATGTCACAGTTATTGTTCTCCAATAAATCTTTTTTTATTGTTGGAATTGTGGTCTGTTAGGTCTCAGGTCTAGTTCTTTCTGATTTGCTTGTGTTTACGTATTGATTGCTTACTTTCATCAGAAAATTTAATTAGGCGATAATTTTCACTAATTTTCACCACCTGCGAAAATTTACGCAAGTTTTTTGTGCGTTTTTTCCGTTTTTTCGAATTCACTCGCGGGTTGCAAGGCACAGAGAGATTTTTTACAAATTTATTTCTAAGATAGATAGGACAGTATTGTTCTTAGCTACTAAATGGTAAGTGCTTCATTCCTGTAGCATCAATATTCGCGGAGAACACGCTAATTTTCGCACAACATTTCACAAAAATTTTTTTCAAACATTGCGATCTCCGCGAACATCGATGCCACAGGAATGAAACAAGTATCATTTTGAAGCTAAGAATAAGCTCGTTCTATCTATCTTAAAAATATCTTAGTAGAAAGTTTCTTTGTGTCTCGTAAAGTGCGAGTGAATTCGAAAACGAAAAAAACGCTCAAAAAACTTACGCAAATTTCGCAGGTGGTGAAAATTAGAGTAAATTTTCTCTGAATAAAATTTTATAATGCTATATATCACTCAAGAGAATCCCCCAGTTAAAATTAGCGATATCTTATTTTAAATTAAAATACTTTTTTTTTCCTTTTTTTCGCTATTTTCACTATCTACTATAAAGTGACTATAATTTTAAAAAAAGTATAAAAAGAAGCATGCATAGCAGGGGCTCTGCATTTTTTACTGAGAGAGGCACCTCAGGCTCCTTTTTTACCGAGAGAGACAACTCGGACTCTCTATTTTTTGGGCAGAGCGAGATAGCTCTGACTCCTATTATTTGGGCAGAGTGGATAACTCTGATTCTCTCTATTATGGAGGGAGATACTCCAACAGTATATGTAGGAGTATTCCTTAAATATGATAAATTATAGAAATTTTTAAAAATTATGGGATTCATTTCTCCCATATATGGTCATGTTTGCTATTCATGTGATTTACGCAGCACATCAATATTTCGAATAGCTTATGCTTATTAAGATTTTTCCTCGTTGGATCTTCGATAAAATTATTTGGTTGTCTCAAAGATTTTCGTGGATAAATACATCGAATGACAAATTAACTAAATATCTCTTGAGCGAATAGTTCAAACTTACCTCACATTTATTCTTTATAATTGTGACTATACAACTTAATGATGGTGAAAATTCATTATTCGTACTTGCATGCCATGAAATTTACAAACATTCAGATCTGGTACCAATTATTTTATCATCATGAGTTAATCTGCATTCTTCAATAAATTTGGGATTGAATTTGTACAATCCGGATAAATTTATAAACTGGCCGAAATATTAGGAGTTGAGATTGCTCCATTATCCTGGGTGATGATGATGATTCTAATTATTGTAATGAATGTTTAGAAAAATGAATATTGGGTGATAATTATAATATTTATTGGATTTATTGTTTGCATTTTACTGGATTTTCTATATTATGATCAAGAGACAAATTAGCAAATTTAATAAAAATACTGTAAATAAACATAAACTTTTCCAAAACATGTAAAATAGTTTTTGATGTGAAAGAAAGTTACATTTTTTTTAGGTTATATTAGTAATTATTCCTTTTTACTTATGATTTGAAGCTGCCAATTTCATTATTTAAAAATTTTATAACCATATTGATATGATATTTTGTAATTTTTAATTTCCTCCGAGAACGACCAATTTTATTTTATTTTCTATTAAACATAAAATAATAAAATGAATATGGGTTTATATAAAGAATGAGATTGACATAATAAATGTATATTTACCCAAAGTATGTGGTGCCAACCATGTAACTTAAAGTATCTCAAAATTATTTTGATAATCGGGCAAGTGAAGTGGAAATGGTTTCATTAAAAAAATCAAAAAAAAATCAATTTGGAAATTTATAGACTTTCACTCTTATATAATTATGGTATAACTATTAATTATTTCACACATAATACTAATATATTGGATCAGATGATGTTACTTAATTATTTTTTGCTATCTATTTATTTTCTTTTTGTTTATTGCACTTAAATAAGTTATTCTTAAATACTTAGTATTTCTAAATCGTAAAATATACAATGCAAACTAAAAATTCAAGCTCATAAATGATTCTGAACCTGAATGTTTATTCTATTATATTAAATAATTACAAGAGAAACACGAAGCAACGAAACAAAATATAACTATTAGGTTGATATCATTAAAATAATTTGTTAATGTTTTAAAGTTAAATTAAAATATTATTTTTTAATTAACTTTGTTAAATTAGTTTTAAATAATTAATTTAATATTGATTTTAATTTTAACGAGAAAATCAATATAATATTTTAATAAATTTAAAAATTTACAAAATAATGTTTATCATTAACAAAATAATTATATATAAAGTTAGTCTTTATTACATAGTATCTTTAATATTTTCAATGTAACGAAATAATAAATAATTCAATGAACACATAATTCAACATGTAATACATAAATAAATATAATTTCTTATTTGGTTTTATTTTTATTATTTTTAAAATATTATTTGGATTATTTGGATTATTATTCTATATCAAATTGAACTCCATATTCATCAATAACTTTAAAATGCTCATCACTTAATGTAAATAGTCGTGATTGAAGTTTTACAATAATCTTTTTATTTCTTCCTCCTCCTTTACGAATCCACACTTCAAAAATTTTTCTTAAACTTTCAGATCTAAACATTCCCATTCTAAATCTGTACACTTTCGGCCATTTACATAATAAATAATTAGCATCCAATCCTTTTTCCATAGCCAAATGAAAATCTCCTTAATTCTTTAAAATTATTTTTAAACATTGTTATTATTTGTTCGAGACTTAAATCTAATAAATTTAATTCGGTAATCTTTTACAATAATTCAAGATAGTTGAAAATATATCGGATGGAATTGTGAGAAATAAATCTAGACAAATATTTTTAAATTTGTATTGGCCGTTTCGAGAATTTTATGATAAATTCTTGAGAATGCGCATTTAATGAAAAAATCGAATAAATATAATGAAAACTACTTAATTGAGTAATTGATGAAGCAAAGAATAAACTATCCGATTTATAAAGTAAACAATATTCAATATAAAGTTTTTTAAATGAAGTAAATTGCCCAATTGGTGATGACTTCTCCTCAAAATGATAAAAATCTACTGATTTTAAACGAAGACTCTTTAAGGTTTCTTTTTTTTTACTGACGATAACCTATAATAATGAATTATAATTTATATTACCATTACCAATAATTGATAGATTTTGAACACTAATAAGTTTTTCTAATAATTGCACTTGAGATTCTGACTTAAATACCAAATCCATATTTAAAAGATTATTACAAATTAATGCTAATGATTCATATAATGGTCTAGTTAGTTCATCATTTGTTGTCGCCGAAACAATTTCTTAATACTTTCGAAACTCCAGGTAACTTGATAATTGAACCAATCAAATCATTATAATTTAGATCGTGAGAATAATTTTCGGGAACTTCCGTCATTTCAAAATAATCCAAAATGAACAACGATTTATTATTAATTTACATATCTCAGTAAATAATATTCTCAATTCGGTAGTGGTGACGATTTCTTCATTATTATTATAGCTATTACCTTGACTTGAATCAAAATATTCGGAATTAAAATAAGCCAAATTATTAATTCTTAATTTATGAGTGAATGATGGATAATCAAAAGTAGCTTGAGGCGGTGATGATGATAAATCAAATCCATTTCGTGTAAGTAAAGTTCTGGCTTGAGTATCCATACATGATACATAAGTTCGAATACATAACGCTTTATTCCTCAAATTATCCCAATTAAATTCTTGATCCAAAACTAATTCCCAAAGTATAGGTATCGTAACTTTACACCAGAATCGATTAACTAATAATGATGAATATAAATCTTGAATTGATTTAACATTATTTAATATTATAATCAATAATTCTGTTGAAATTTTAGTTGCCATTTTTTTTCCTCAGCAATAAAAAGAAAATTTTTTAAAAAAATAATTGTTTCACATTTAAATATTTATGATTCAGTGTGTAACTACTCTGCTTTGATGTGATGGCTACACAACATATTCAACATACTGTGGTGACGACGAAAGATTGGTAAGATGGTACGAAGATAGCAGCATAGAAAACATGTGCTATGGAAACACAAATGATGGAAATGATGGAGAAGTACAAATGATGGAAATGATGGAGTTGTACAATGATAGAAATGATGGAGTTGTACAATGATGGAAATGATGGAGTTGTACAATGATGGAAATGATGGAGAAGAATGAATGATGG